GGTTTAGGGTTTAGGGTTCAAAATTATGGTCTTTTTTGGGGTACCCTAAATAATAGGTGCCGTATTATAATAAGGACCCAAAAAGGGACCATAATTTTGACAGCCACCCAATTAGAGTAGGGGCTGTTCTCTAAAATAGGGTCCTTTGGGGGTCCTGTTTATAAGGGTGCCGTACTATATTGGGGACCTAAAAAAGGGACGCTAATTTAGAGAACTACCCATAGGGAGTTGGGCCCCTTTATAGTATTATCAAGGAACCCTATGAATTATATTGATAATTATTCAGGCTTCGATACTGGTATCTTCCACCCCCATGCGCTAGACATCTATGTAGAAGCCGGCCGTCAATCGCAGCTGTCATTAACAAAGCAGAATGCAGGTGTCTTGGAGAGTCTGAAAACCGAATTAGACAGCCCTAAATTCCCTTAACTCCCTTAACTCTAAGTCTAAACCCAACTCCTAGAATCTTACATGGAGGTGCATGGGAGTAATAAGTAGGCTTGTTTCTTAGGGTAGCTATACTTTATGCCCATATCACGGGACGTATAACCCTACTTATGACTACCCATGAACCTCCAAGTAGAGCAACACAACTCACACTCTAACCCCAACCCCTTAACTCTAAGTTGAATCGCCAAACCCCGCAAACCTGAGCAAAGCCCTGAAAAAGCCCAACCACGACGGGCTATGCAGGGGCTCTAAGGATAATGTAGGGGCCTAATATTTACCAATACTATTTTGAGGGGCTCCTTATTAAAATTCTATAGTATAATGGGCCCCAAAAGCCCTGTTCCAATTATTAAGGCCCCTATATTGCATGTTACTCGCTCAGGGGTTTTAGGGTGCGGCTTTCGGTGTCTCGGTTCCGTTTCGAAGATGAGGGCTGGTTGTTTGGGCCCAGAGTCCTTCAGGAAACGGTCTGAACACCTGGAAGCAAAAGCCCAAAACAAACTCAACGTCAGGATTTAGGGGTTTAAAGGTTTAGGGTTTACGGGTGTAGGATTTTGACGTATTGCTGGATCCCTCTAACTCCTCTCGTGATAAGACAACACTCACTTGTGTACAGCACCCAAGAAACGGAGGCTCTCCCTAAACCCACCCTAAACCCCAAACCCTAAATCCTACACCCCCAAAAGCCGAAATTCTAAGCCCTGAATCCGATACTCTCGAGATCCTCTCTGGGGTCTAGGAATTCGAGGGTGACCGGCTGCCTGTGATTGTCGTCGAAGACGCTGTTCTTGGTGCAGGGAACAACTCCAGATGCAAACTTTGAGCGGGGTACTGAGCCCTTGAAGGAGCCCCTGCTGAGCCCGTAGAGGAGCCCTGCTGTTGCTGCTTGCTGCTTGCTGCTTACGTGCTGCTTGCTGTTTGCTGCTGGCGGCTGCTGCTGCTGCTGCTGCTGCTGCTCCTGCTCCTGCTCCTGCTCCTGCTCCCGATACTGCTACTGCTACTTCTACTGCTCCGGTGACGTAGCCCAGCAGACTGCAACTGCAGCTGCAGCTGCTGCTGCTGGTGCTGGAGCTGGTGCTACTGCCACTGCCACCACTGCAACTCCTACTCCTACTACTCGTCCTCTTAGTAGTCCTACAACCACCACCACCACCACCAGCACAGCCCCCACCGCCAACACACCACGACCACGACGACGACGACTAGTAGTACTAGCTCCTTCCACAACTACAGTGCACAGATGCGTTATCGACAAGGGCTGCTTGCTGCCAAATGACTACTGACTAATGACTGCTCGCTAAATGGGCACTGCTGCTTCCAACTCTTGCGACGCTTGTGGTAGTACACTGCTGTATCGATCCTGGCCTTGCGACTACACTAATCACCAGCAGTACCGCTACGAAAACGAAGCGCGGTCTGCGCATGCCAAGTATCAGCGTAATGGTCACGGTTGTGGCGGTGGAGGAAGTCGACGTCCTGTAAGCTTCGCGGTCACAGACTTCAGTGTCCGACACGAAGTCTCAGCTACAGGCTAACGAGCAAGCTGGGTGTAATAATCGTTTATGGTTTCGGGTTGCAGCGGGTACCACATACCTTGTCACAGAATCCGTCCACACCCCTGCACCACAACATCTTCGTCGGCACCTGCTTGTGCTCGAGGTCGTGCTGCTGCTGGAAAGCGTCGTGGATGTTGACGACGTGGTAGAAGTGATTGTTGAGCTCACAGATGTCGAGCTCGTAGATGAGATGGACGTAGTAGATGTCAACGTCCTCCCAATGAGTAAGAGTCCCCAAGCTGGGACAGATCTTAAACTTAAGCCCTAAACAGGGAGCGATCAATAACGAGTCGGGCCAGGCTGCCTTGTTCAACCCTGAACCCTAAACCCTAACCCCTAAACCCTTAACCCTAAACCCTAAACCCCTAAACCCTAAACCCTAATTTCTTGGGCAATTACCAGATAGGAGGTTCATACACAGAGCCGGAAAGAACGATCCTTAGCCTGAGCCACCACCAAAGTCAACAACATCACTGACGGTGGCATGCACCCTTCTCACTCAAGAACTCTACATGAATGGCCAATCTACTCCCAAGTGAGAGACCTTGTCGTGTTTAGGGCTTGAGGCACAGTGTTCGTGTCGGCAAGTATTCCAGTAGACCCTTAACCCTACACCCTACACCCTAAACCCTCCCAAACCCTGAACCCTAAACCGCAGTAGAGGTTGCAAGATTTCGAAGCAGAGCCAGGCGAATCACGTGAACGCCTCTAATCCAATAATGTAGGGGGCCTTGATAAGTAATTAGGGGTATACTGTTAGACGATGATCATGGTAACGAGCCCCCCAACATGGCATTGGTAGTTACTTCAGTGATTCAGCCCCTATACTAGCCCAAGTCGGCATTTTGGTTCATGCTCATCTTACTGAGTCCTCCACACTGGACACGCCACACCCTAGGCCCTAATCGCAAACTTAACCCTAAAACCCCAAGCCTTAAACCCCAAACCCTAAAACGCCAAACCCTAAACCCCAAACCCTAAACCCTAAGCCCCAAACCCTGAACTCCAAAGTCGAACATTGACCCCACCTCGCTTCCCTGGCCTGGTAGTCGTTGTCGAGGCGGTGATGGTGCTCGATGTTGTTGACGTAGCGGATGTGGTAGATGTTGACGTTGTGGACGTTGCAGTGGTTGAGGATGTGGTGGTGCTCGTGATGGTGGCTGTAGTGCTACTCGTGACACTGGTGGACGATGATGTAGATGTTCTGGTCGATGTTGTAAGCGTGGACGTGGCAGATGTTGTTGAGGAGGTCGATGACGTCATGGAAGTTGATGTTATTGTTACGGAGGACTTGGTTCAACATGCATGCTACTAGTGCGCAAACATCTCCTGATTAGGCCTGTAACCGCTCGTACAGGAGGGCAACAAAGCTAATACTGCCTTCTCTCATGCGGAGTGAAACCGCTAGATGCGGCTTCGTTTTGCTTCCGTTGTCCCTGCATGAGTTTTCCTACTCTTGTCTGTTCGCCAGAGAAGCCAGAACCTGCTTCCAAGAAACTGTGCTCGTGGATGTGACAGTTGTGCTGGAGGTCGTCGTCGAAGATGACGATGTAACGGAGGTTGTGCTCACAGTGCTCGTCGTCGACGATGTTGTGCCACTCCTTAGCACGGTTTGGATGCAATGCTGCTACGCCCCTCGTTTGGTACAAAGCAAAACATTGTGATACTCATCATCTGGAATCTTTGATTGCGGGGCAGTGAGAATGCAGGGGTTTGGAGTAGACTGCGCGCTCAAGGCTCAAAGTCTTTGCAAGCGCTGGTGCCAAGGAATTGCTACACCCTAAACCCTAAATCCAAAGCACCTAAGGCCTAAATCCCTAAACCCCAAACTCCTAAACCCTAAACCGCGTCTGCGAGAATGCGGTTCTTCAGGAGGCCGTAGCCAAGAATCCCTGGGTCATCCTGGGTGTAATTGCTATAGAAGAATAGGGTTTGGGGCCAAGGGTTTAGGGTTTAGGGTTCATGAAACTCCGGAATGGAGGGTGGGGGGCCATAGAGTATAAGAAGCTGAAGGCCCCTCAGTACTTCGCGGCTTGCTTTTTCCGATACAGACTTGAAAGTTTTTCGATTGGGGTGCTGCAAGGAGTACCCTGAACCCTGTACCGCGGGTCCATACATACGGGCCTTATAATTAGAACAAGGCTGTGGGGTAGATTATAGTATACTCCCTATAAGGAACCCTAAAGCCTCACCGACTTGGTAACAATCTTGATTCAGGCTTCTATATTTATTTGGGTGGTTGTCAAAATTATGGTCCCTTTTTGGGTCCTTATTATAATACGGCACCTATTATTTAGGGTACCCCAAAAGGGACCATAATTTTGACAACTACCCATTTGGCAGATACGAGTTGAGCCGTATAGAAGCCGAAATCCTCCATCCGCTCACTATCAGGGCCGGTTCGAAAGGCCGCCGACGGGTCCCGACTTATGGATTGTGGACTTCTGAGAGTGACGCCAGCTTGGCTTCGGGATAACAACAGCAATAAGTAGTAGAGAGGATCGTAGTGAACATCACCTCACAAGGGCGAATGACAACATTGATGATTCACTTTAAATGCCTTTGCACATGTTCATCAGCCATCCAGCGTGCAGCACAACGGGTTGAGGCAAGTGTCGTCGTCGATGTTGCAGACGTCGATGTGGAAGTTATTGAAGTGCTGGTTGTCGTTGTACTGCTTGAAGACGTGGTGGAGATTGAGGTGCTCGTGGTAAGAGTCGACGAGGTGGTGGATGTTGTTGCAGTGGTAGTTGTAGTCACGCTGGTGCTTGTCGTGGAGGTCGAGCTGGACGTCAAGGTGGTGCTCGACTGCCAGGGAAAACGCGTCTCTACATATTGCTCGGAGGGTCGGGGAATTTGGAAAGTATAGTTAATTTGTAAAGCTAGAAGCATCATACTTTCAATTCGGATCCCTTGGGGGTGGTTATGTCCTTACTTACTACCTACTGACCTACCCTCCAAGTGAGACTACGGCAGCCTAAAACCCACAAAACTCTGGACTCGACTGTCCATCTATCTTCCTGGGTCTCCAAATAGCCGCCATGTATAGATTTAAGACCCCAAAGTAGGTACTACGGTTGATGATATCAATCCTGCAATACCCGCAATAAGTAATATACCATAATCCCCATATTTTAGGGTCCTTGAGGTAATGCAGGATTCATATCATCAACTGTATCTGTCTACTTGGAGCCCCAGGGTAAAGCCAGATCTCAGAAACGCTGACTCGTAGTTTTGGGGGGGCAGGCTGAGTGTGCAATAGCATAGCGTTCTGGGCATGTTCGACTATACTCAAGGGTTCAGTGCCGCACCCTAGGCCAAAGGCCTGGTGACCTGAAACCAAGATGTCATGCAACACCACCCTGGACTGACTGAGCCTTTAACCATTTCACAGCCCTCTTAACCCTACACTCACAGTGTTTGGGTTGAGGCTTCAGGACAAAGGTCTTAGGTAGCGCACTGTTCAATCAGGCAAAAATCGTGCTTGCATGCTATGCCTGAGAATACCGGCCGGATTCTCTTGCAGCCCTCCGGGCTTCATATGGTTTAGGATTTAGGGTGTAGAGAGTGCAGGAAAAAAGACATCGTTGTTAGGGCTTACGGCTGCGGGGTTGGGCATTCACCGGCAAAAATGAAGAGTTCAGAGTCTTTGGGGCTTAAGCGATGGATTGTTTGGTTACCTTAAGCTAGTTTAGGGTTTAGGGTTTAGAGCTTCCTACCCATCGCTACAACCATTGCGATGACAATCTAGCTGCAAAGGCATATCCTCCCCCCTCCCCTCGTAGAAGGTCAGGTCACACTGACGGTGGAGGTGGCCGAGGTAGTCGTGGCCGTGAAAGACGTTGTGGAGGTGGAAGACTGCATCCAGGACTTTACAAGTTTATCGATGTACGTACATACCGAAATACTTGTGATCCATACATACGTATGTACATGTATATAATCCCAATTCCTGAACCCTTTACACCCTTAAACCATTGACCCTGAACCCTAAATCTAAACAACCACTGTAGCTTGATTACAGGTTTCTGGATCTTCAGGACTGCAGCTTAGGATCTATAGAGGGCGGGCTGTAAGGTTCAGGATTTATGGCTTAGCGGTGTTTGGGTTGTGAGTTTGGGGGTAAGGCTTTCGCGCGTAGGGGCTTTGACACTTGAAGTTTACCATGTGGGACTTTTGGCTTGTAGGCGTCATGATGCAGGGCCTGCGGTATTGAGACTTTCAGAACACAGAGAACCTTTCCTGCCTCAATCCTTTTTGTGGAGCTTGGAGCCTTTACGGATTGTGTTGCGGAGCCTGTCGATCTGGGGCATAAGACACAGGATTGCCGGATTGTCCAGGATTTCTTAGGCCTGAGAGGACTGGGGGGGTCTTTGGTGTTCAGACACAACCCTAAAAGCCCATGACCTCCAAAGTTTTGAACCCCAAGAGCCCTAAATCCTAAACCTGACCATATTGTTCAAAAGTTGGATTGACTCATCCTTGTTACGCCTGACAGAAGTCTAAACCCTAAACCCTAAACCCTATCAAACTAGACCCTCACTGCTTCACGGACGGTGTGGACTTACAGAGCTTCTGCTGGTACCCGTGCTGGTCAAGACTGTAATGTAGACGCCCAAATAATTACCTATATTATTTAGTATAGGCGCTTGAATAATTACCTACTATATTATTCTTAGGGCTCCTTATTGTAATGATATTATATTAAATGAGCCCCAAACACTATTCTAATGATTAAGGCCCCTATAGTAAACGCGTTGCTGGACTTTTTGGTCCGGCTTGGTTTGACTGCCATAGTGTGCGAAGGTCTGTGTGCTAGGGCCGATTGTGTCTCTCTCTCTCTCTCTCTCTGTCTCTCTGTAGGGTTTAGGGTTTGGGGTTTGGGGTTTAGGGTTTAGGGTTTAGGGTTTAGGGGGGTCCCTCTCTCTCTCTCTGAGGAGTGAACGGACTATGACTTCGACGATTTTGGCAAGACTACGAAATCGTACTTCTGCGTGACAGAGTTTGGGGACTTGATTCGGGCTTCAAGAGCCCCGAAACCCCTAAAGTAGAGCTCGGGGAAGCTAACTTAGATATCGAGCCCTCTTAAAAACCCCCTATCCCTAAACCCTAAACTCGAAACCCTAACCCCGAAAGAAACCCCCTATCCCTAAACCCTAAACCCGAAACCCTAACCCCGAAACTCCATATAGATCCCTGTGGGCCGCTCGCCTTGCAGGTTTTGATTCCCAGCCCCAGTCAATGAGCCCTCGCCGCCATAAACCCTAACACCTCAGCCCCAAAGCCCTGCCCCCTAACCACTACCTGGACCCCACAGAACCTACCTTTTTAGGGTTCCTTATTCTGATTTCTTTATATGAGTCCTTAAGAATGTAGGTTATTTGGGGTTAAGGTAAGCCCTAAACCCTAAACAACTAAACCCCTAAACCATGACACCTCTAAGCCTCTAAGCCATAACCCCTAAGCGCTAAACCCTAACAACAAAGCGCCTCAACCCTGACACCTAAGCCCCCAAGCCATTTAAACCCTAAGCCCTAAACCCCCTTAAACCCTAAACCCTAAAACCCTAAACCCCCCTAAACCCTAAACGCCAGGACCGAGTAGCTGTAGAGCTGACGGTGATCGACGTCGCCGTGGACGAGGTCTCTGAGACCGTCACCGTGTAGCTGGTGCTGGTGACCTGCTCTTTAGGGCGTTTAGGGTTTAGGGCTTTCAGGGTTTAGGGTTTAGGGTTTAGGGTTTAGGTTTTAGGGTTTAAGTGTTTTTGGTTTGAAGAAACACCTAATCTAGACTGATATAGACTTAGACCTAGAATATAATGATAACCTACAGAAGGGTTTTAATGACAGAACCTGTTTTCCACCTGCCCATTAGGTTAGGACGAATGCCAAAGATAGCTGAGGCAGTTGCCAGCTCCTTGCATGCCGCTGTACTGCTACACTAAGCCCTAAATCACCAATAAATAGAGAAGGGTTTGGGGTTCAGCTGGAAGATGAGGCTCAGATTTTCCAGTTTGGTTTCCGAGTCTCGCAGTTTATGCAGGGACATTAGCCGAGCAACTCATAATTTCAGGTGATATCGTGTTGTGATGTCTTAGAATTTTATTAAGTTTAGGAAACCCTAAGGAATAGCAGTAGTAGTCTTGGCTACTCAGCAACCCAATGGGAAAAGTGTATACTTGTTGTTGTCAGTTATATGATTATAATATAACCGGAACCCAGAAACCAACACGCAACAACAAACAAAACAAACAAAACATAGACGGAATGACCTAGCTAGTTCCCTAAACACTACACCCTAGCTCGTTATTGAGTTAGTTATTCAGAATTTCTAGACTGCGATCTTCTCCGAGCTGCTGTCACCGATATGGTGGTACTCGAGGTGGAGGACGTGGATGTCGCCGTTCCGCCTGGTGCGCCAGAAACGCGAAGGAATGCTTCAACATCTGAGTAGCAACAGCCGACGCAACGCAAAACCTCCAGAAACTCCAAAACCTTGACGACCTTCAAGCGCCTAACCCTACCCTGAAACCTTTGAACCCCCACAATTCTGCACACCATGACTCCCCCTGCGGCTGTGGCACTTGCAGTCGTCGTGCTGCTGGCCGTCGCTGAACTGGAGGTGGTGCTGCTGGCAGACACGGTGCCTTCGATTCGCTGTGTATTTCACGCTCAAGAATTATCGACCGCTGTGGTGGCATGTGGGCTTGGGGCGGTTCTGTGTTCTCAAGGATCTGAGGCCTGCGCGTGTCCTGCCTTTGTAGTGGCAGGCGCAACACTTGACTTGCAGCGACTTGCCCGCCTCTAAAACACACAATCTTAATCTTCATTGCACAAAGCCCTGTATAAAGCTCTAAACGCTAAACAAGCTAAACCCCGCAGCCCTACAGTCCTGAAGCCTTACGTGAACCGAAAAAACCTAAAGCCCCTGAACCCCTAAAGCGTAGAACCCTAATACCTATACATGCCCACACCCGAAGAATCCAAAACTCGTGAAACCCTAGCTTGAAACCCGTCAGGGTTTAGGGTGTAGGGACCCTAAACCCTAAACCCGACTAATTAAAGCCCAAAGCCTCACACCATTGCATAAAAGCCGCCCGGTTCCAGAAACAAGCCTAAAACCCAGAGGAACAAACCAAAAACTGAACATTCAGAACACGCTTGCTAACTGACCTCAGAACACCCCGAAGACCGTAAGCATGCTAAATCTCATGCAACATACAAAGCCCGAGACACCTTGACTAGCATCCTGAAATTTACAAGCTTTACATCCTGGAAGCCTAAACCCTAAACCCTACACCCTAAACCCCGAAGGCCTACTAAACCCTAAACCCTAAACCCCCAAAGCCTAAACCGTAAACAAAACCCTAGAGAGCCCAGCAACCCAGGAATCTGGGTAGTGCTTTAGATGGTGGTCCGTTTTAGGGTTCCCGCAAAGGAATCTCTCAGGCTTTCTATAGGATTACTACAAGGGTTCTATGTGGGTAGTTTTCTACATTAGGGTCCCTGTAAGGGTCCTTATAATAAAGGTGCCGTAGTATTTTGGGGGAGCTAAGAAGGGATCCTAGTTTAGAGACCTGCCCGTCGAGTAGAAACATACGTCGGCCTCAAAGCCGCCTATGGAGTAGCTTGAAGGCCGAAACTTTACTGTGTCGGTACATGGACCCGACAAGACCCGGCAAAATAAATCTTTCAAATCGAAATAAAACACGATAGAACTCTAAAAAGAAGCCCCATAAACCCCAAACGCTGAAACCCCTCTAAACTCAAAGCTCCAAACCCTAAGGCACCCAAAACCCAAAACCCTAAACCGTCTAAGGCACGACTAGGATCCCCAGTAGCCGAGCCGTAACACAAGGGCTCACGTCTTGGCATTGGTAGTTTTGATAGGGAACCTACGAGCACCAACAAGCGAGAACCCAAACACCGGGAGACCTCGACAGCCTCACCGTGAACTCTGAACCCTCAGCCATTTGTGGGAGATCCCTTAGCCTCAACCTTTTATGGGAAATCCCTTAGACTTTATGGGATTTATGGGGACCCCTTCCTAAACACTAAACTCTAAACCCTAAACCCTAAATCCTAAACCCGAAACCCTTAACTAATGAACGTGGGCGCCTAAGATCCCCAAAAAAAGCCGAGCGACTGCTGCTCGAAACGCTCGTCGTGGAGCTTCCGGTGACCTTGGCCAAAGAGAGAGAAAGGCGAGGGTTGAGGGTTTAGGGTTTAGGGTTTGGGGTTTAGGGTTTAGGGTTTAGGGTTTAGGGTTTAGGGGTTATTTAGGGTATAGACTTTTGGGTTGGGGGCGGGGGGGGGGGGGTGC